ATTCTTTAAAATGCACCAGTCGGGGCACTAATGTTTTTCGTATTAAATATTGAATATCTAAACTTTTTGTTTAAAATCAAATTAATAAATTAATTTAATTTCAAAAATTGATTAAATTAAACTTTCGAGAAATAAACAAATAAATAGAAGTGCGCAGAGAAGGTATGTAATCTTGACAGCTCACACTACTTAAAAACACAGAAAAATCAACTGCAAAAACTGAGGAACTAAATTGACGGATAAAATTGAGGGATTTCGTCAGCTTGTAAAGTTTTATTCTTAAAAAATAATTGAAGAATTATTTATTTATTTATTATTTTATTTATTTGAAATAATTGAAGAAATTATATAACCTATTATTCGCACAGAATACGTTGAAACTATAGAAATAATTATTATTTTGAAATAGAAAATCGATGAATATCTTTTGGTTAATTTTGCACCATTATATTTTTTTTAAAAATCTAATTATATTTGTACTTTTTAATTTACTTTTTTGAAGATCTATAACATCGATCAGTTTTAAAGCACACGCTGGTGTTGAAAAATATAAATAAAAACACATAAAAGTTGCTATTTATATAATGAATTTAACTTGTCAGTTTTTACTCGATTATAGGTCATAACCAACTAACATCAATCGGCATTTCACGTATTATTTTCAATTGCATTAATTAATTATAGTACTCCTATGTTTTTTTCCTAATCGGTTTAAAAAATAATATATTTTTACGTTAAATAATAAATTTAAAAATAGAAAAGGGTCTAAAATATCTTTGAAGTATTAGAAATAGTACAAAATCATCCTCCATTCACCTATTGGCTTTAAAATGCCCCCGCATTAACCTATTGATTCCAAAATATCCTTGTCATCCACCTTTGTGTTAAAAATGACCATTTATTTAACGGTTTTAAATTTAAATAATTTAAATACTTTTTTAAATACGTAGCTCTCAGCTATCTTTTATAACTTAACTTATTAGTATAATTTATAAATCAATCTATTATCCACTCATTACATAATTAAACCGGCCCAATTAATAAATCCGCCCATTTACTAATACAACAATAATAATTTACTGCCAATGATTGTTCATAAAATTTTGAGGCGAAAATGACTATAGAAGTACATTATCATATATTCAAACTGTCAATCAAAACATATTATAATTCAAGTTTACAAATAATGATTACTGATAAACTTAAAAATCTAACTACGTTCATCTTAATTATTCCTTCATCTCCATTATGTAATATTACATAATAGATAACTTTTAAAAAAATAATATATTATAATTTTAATATTTAAAATAAATCATATATATTTATAAAACTATATTTAAAAAAGTGCACGAATTAATTCGGGGTTACTATAGGCTAAACCTAAATCTCACTGGGCTTCAATTCGGATTCAAATAAATTTGGACAATATTTTCAAGAATATGTGATTTCGCCATGTCTTAGTAGTGTTTAGGACAATTTTGATATTAGAATTGGTTTATTAATTGAACGGTTTAATAAGTAATGCGTGGGTAGTGGGTTGGTTTATGAATGATATTAAAAAATTAAATTATAATCAATAGTTGAACACCTCGTATTTTAAAAAGAAAATCTAAATAATCTAAATTTAAAATCATTAAATAAGTGGTCAATTTTGAATCTAAAGGTGGATGAGAAATACATTTTGGAGCCAATAAGTGGATGGAGGATAGTTTTGTATCATTTTCAATATTTAGATGATATTTTAGGCTCTTATTCAATTTAAAAATACTTATTTTAGTCTTAATAAAATGAGTTTCTAACCATATAGATACGCATAACTTATTATAAATCACAAGTTTTGAAAATATATCTTTAGTTCTTATATTTATATCGAGTTAAATTAATTCATATAAATTATATCGGGAACTAATATTTGCAAGCCGAGAAAGCCAAAAACAAGGACCTTTTGTGTCTATGTAAACACGTAATTCTTTTCTAAAATCATTCAATACATCTTATTTTTTTCATTTATTCAAACTTACATACTATTGCATCGTATAGTTGATAGAGTATTTGAATTTTTAACCTAATAATCGCGTATTCAAATTTTGTAATATTTAAATCAGAAACGGGTTTAAAATATCTTCAAAGTATTGAAAATGGTATAAAATTACCCTTCATCCACCCATTGACTCCAAAATGCCCTTCCCATCCACCTATTGGGTCCAAAATACCATTGTTTTCCATCTTTTGGTTCAAAATTGACCACTTATTTAACAGTTTTATATTTAAACTATTTAAATATTTTTTAAAATACGTGGCGCTCAACTATTTGTTATAATTTAACTTATAAGTGTAATTTATAAATCAATCCACTACCCACCCATTACTAATTAAATCCCTCTAAATTAATGAACATGTCACATTATTAATGCAAGCTACTACCAATTGAGTGTTTTTAAAAAAATATAGAAGTAAATTATCATACATGCAAGTGGCTACATAAAAATCACCGATAAACTTAAAAGTCTGACTATGTTTATCTTAATTATTCTTACGTCTCAATTATGTGATGTTACTTCATAGGTAATTTTTTTTTCAAAATAATATATTAAAGGTTTTAAAATAAATCATAAATATTTATAAAATTATATTTAAAAAAGTACATGAATTAATTCGAGATGTATTATTTCTTTACCTTTAACCATAAATTTCTAATCAAATTTTGAAAGAAAGTGTCCTCCTAAATAAGCGAGAATTGGGGCTTCGATTCAGACTTGAATAATTTTGAATGTTGTTTTCAGTAATTTATAATTTCATCGTGTTTTAATAGTGTTTATGACGATTTTGATATTATAATTGAATTATTAATTGAGGGAGGTTTAGTTAGTAATGGGTGAGTAGTAGATTGGTTTATAAATTATATTAATAAATTAAAATTATAATTAATAATTGAACACTCAGTATTTAAAAAATAAATTAAAGAGTTTAATTTTAAAACAATTAAAAAATGGTCAATTTTGAACCCAAAGATGGATGACAATGGTATTTTGGAGCAAATAAGTGGATGAAGAAGGCATTTTGAAGCCAATAGGTGGATGAAGGATAATTTTGTATCATTTTCAATACTTTAAGGGTATTTTAGGCCCTTATCCTTATTTAAATTTAACTTTTTATTATTATGAATAAAGATATATCATTGTTACATTCATAGATGAATGTTCAACTTTACGATTTTTTTTACTATTTTAAAGCATTTAGATTTAGTAATTCCTGAAAGGAAAGTAGCAAAGTGTAAAATTGAGGATAAAACAATAAAAATCACATATTTTTAAGATAAAATTATCATTTATTTCTTATAAATTTATAATTACAGAAATTCCTCAAACTGATATAACAATATAAGCATTGATACATTAATTTGATATACATTTTATATATGATACACCAACACGATGCACGAGATACATGAATCTAATATACAAAAATATATTAATTTGATGTGCTGATACATTATTCTAACACACAAAAACAAGAAATTTTGAATTAAAAATGATAATGATAATAAAAAAACTTAAAACCGAGATATTTTTTTATTTTTTCAAAAATATAGCGAACGTAAGGCACATTCTTTAAGACTTACATATATATGGTAGGTCGGCGCAGAAGCGCATTTCGGCCTTCAATTTGTACAGACTATACTATAGCTGTACCTAATATTCGATCAATTAAAATCATATGTATGCGCCGAATTATATTATGTTCCATCCAACATTTTTTAAAATTACGAATAATTTAAATATGTTTTTGATATTTCAATATTTATTTAACCTAAGTTGATTAAATTATCTCTTGCATTTGTAGTTCAAACACTAATTTGAAGAAGCAAATACAAATATTCGATAGTAAAAATCGATAACGATTTGATTTTTCTTTTTATAGTATTTCAATTTGAATAAAAGAAAAACTGTGTGTACTTAGGGTAACTATATTATCACTTTTTATTTTAATTGTAATAGTTTAGGTTTGCTACCAACTCGATCTAGACCTATTTACACGATTTATCTTCTTCCATATGATATTTTGTTTTTCTACTTAAGCAATTCTAAATCTCGAGGCAATGACTATATATTGTTAATTTCCATAACGATTGAATGGTGCATAACACAACTAATATGTGACAAAAATACTCTTTTCACTTCAATAAATATCTTTACAAAAATGTAATCCTTTAATAGTTATGTAAAAATTGGAACAATATTATTAATATCTTCTTGATTATACTATGAAATATCACTTTTCTTTTAAACAAAATTAAGAAAATAATTTAAAAAACACTTATTTTAAAATAGAAAAAAATATATTTTGTGCATAAAAAAGGTTTAAGAGTTAGGAATTAGGTTATTTTTATTGATGTGTCGTGTGAAAAAGAAATAAGAAAGGTCGGTCCGCCTCTGTGGACACACCAAAAATAAATTAGTTAAAATATGGTATCTGTCAATGAAAATTGAGACATGCTTGCCAACAATCAAACAAAATCTATGCTTTTACTCTAATTTTATAATCCCTCAATTATTATTATTCAAAAGAATCAAAGATTAATTTTTGAGCTTCATTAGGTACAAACAAAATCTCCCCTTTCTACCTTTTCATTGATAAATATCTCTCAATTTCTTTGATGAACTCAATTTATTAGAAATTAATATATCGTGTAACTCAGAAATTGTAGTGGAAAAGTAAGTATTTCATCGTCTTTAATATGAGGTCTTGTGTTTGAGTCTATTTAAGTATAAAGTCGCCTTTAGGACTTTCCGCTTTGAATAGAAAAAAAAATCGATTTAGGCTTGACCACCATGCATGACATGAGCTATCAAATTAGTCCCTTTCTTTTTAATTGTGATGTTTAAACTAGCTAGCTTACCATCTCAATTAATTTCATGGAATATTTGTTACTTTCCATCGATATATATATTTATATATATATATAAGTGTTTAAATAGAAAAATAAGGGAGCAAAATAACAATGGACAAAGTACATTCAATAATGAAGAAAGGAAGTTGACCTTCCAAGAGTTTAAAGGAACATAAAACACTTGAGAATCATAAAATCAAAACTAAATTAACTTGTGGAGTATGTTACTTTCTTTTGCAAAAGAATTGCCATCCTCCCAAGTAATTAGCATCTAATAACTTGTCTTTCCATATTAGGTAGATCGTTGAACGCAAGATACTTTGCACACTAGACTTTTTCCTCGCAGTAGAACTAAAATCCAAATCATACAAAGGAAAAGAATGGAAAACTAATAGTAAAGTGATCTTTTTTAGTTTGGTGTAGAACCCAAAAATCCAAGCTGATGAGCCAAAACATCCACATGATCTTCCTCATTTTCTCCTTCTAGTAAATTGATCTCATCTTCAATACTTTCATTCAACAAACCCTCCCAAAATCCTTCATGATCAATAGATTTATCTTCAAAATTGATTGTGTTCTCACTTGGTCCTCCTTGCATGCTCATACCAAGTGATGTCTCCAATTCAAGATTATCAAATCCATTCATTTCACCATAATAATATTCATGAGGTTCCATCTTTATATTAAAATTTCCATCACTATTATTAAAACTATGGTCTAATTCTCCAACAATATTACTAGGACCTTGATGATGATCAATTTGTCTCCTTCTCTTATTCCTAATCTCTTCTTCAAGTTCCTTCCTTCTTTCCTTTTGTTGCATCATTTGCTCCAAAAACCTTGGATTCTGCATTGCTTTAGCCAAGAAATTCATCATTTGTTGTTGCTTTGCTTCTGTCCTCTTAAGCTTTTCTTCCATTGATTTGATGTGTGATTTTGTAGTCTGTTGATGTTGTTTAAGCTCCACCAATTCCATCATCAAATCTTTCTTCTCGCGCCTTAATCGATCAATCTCTCCATCTATCTCAAGCTTTCCCAATTCAATATAAGAGTCTATACCTTGATTTGAACCTTGTCCAGGATGGAAATTACTTGTTTTTCTCCTCCTAATTGTTTTCAAGAGATGCCTTTGCCCTCTCAAGAAACCTTCATGAGCAAACTCCCAATGGTCTGGATTAACCTTCCTAAATCCCTACATGATAATTCACATTGCTAGCAATATTTATCTATTGGAAGAAAAAGCAAAAAAAAAAAGGATCATAAAAAGCAATCATAATAGGATTTAACTTATATATACTGATCATAGTTGAGGTAATTTTATATTAATTGACTTGTTACAATCGTTATCTTTTAGTTGACATGATGGTATAAAATGTCTTTTACATAAATTGTCGTGGTATATATAATAATTGTACTCATAATAAAATTGTTTTTGTACATTCTACAAGAAATATTGTTAGCTAGGAGAAACTACATACACTAATGAAATGTTGTTACTGAACATAAGGTAATTGGAATTGGCTCATGAGTTTGGTAATGAATACTATACATAAGAGAATGTACATCTTTTTTTTGTTTTACAAGTGAAGATTTCACTTCCTTGATTAGTGATGGAGTTGTAGATACATGTGTATAAGAGTTCTCTAAACTTCTATGTTTTTCCATTTTAAAGTCAAATTTAATTTATTATTTCTCCACAATGTATACTTTAAACAAAAGAAACAAATCTAGAGCAACTTGCCAATAAAGGAAAAAATGAATCTAGTGCAAGTTGCAATTTCAAAATTCAAAATATTCACTAGAAGCTTCACAAACATGAGAAAATTCTAGAGCACTATAAATATCAACAATTATATAGTATATATCATTATGTAGAACACATCAAGCCTTTCTCTTTCTTGTTCCCTCTCTCTCTCTATATATACATATTTTGTGTGCTAGCTCATATATACTATTTTTGAGTTGGTTATAATAAGAAGATAAAATAATGCTTACATAAGTATTGAGCTGTCTGACAAAGCTTGAGAAATTGCTATGCTTGAAGTACCTTGGAAGTAGATTCATGGCAAAAGTTTGAGGATCCCAAACAATGAAACTATTATTACCTATACTCCAAGAAACAACATTATTGGTGTTTTGATCATCCACAAATTCATAAGTCTTTGTTAGAAATGGTGGAGGTCCATTCTCATGAAGCCCCTCCATTGGTTGAGGAATCCACATAGTAGGTTCATTAGATCTAGGGAACTCTTCTTTTATTGGGACACCAAAATTAGGATCCATATAAATCTTGATCTAACAAGGGGTGTACTAGAAAGTTAAATCTTGAATAAAGGAAAATATGTTTAATTAATATGTTTTGAAGTTCAAAGAGGGTGTTGCTAGCTAGTTACAACATCTTTGGGATTTTTAGGGTTTGGGAGTGAGGAGAATCAAGATTTAGATGAAAATGAGAAAAAGAAATAATTTTCCAAGAAAATGGAGGATATAGGAGAGGTAAAAAGAGTTTGTAAAATTAGATTTGGATGAGAAGGAGATGGAATATTAATATGTTGTATTAATGGAGGTCAAGAGTGAGAGAGAAGAGAGAGATGTTAGGTCATAGTTTGATGAATATAGGTTTTGAAAATAATAATAATAGTTTATGGTATGGTCCTTAGATATTTTTAGTCCCTTTTAGCTTCTTTTTTTTTTTAAATTTTAATATGGAGTAACCCTTTTGGGAAGGTCTTGGTAGGAGGAGAGTTTTATTGGTTTCATTGAACCTAAAATGGTAGATAAAAATTTGTACTAATCTAAATTTCTTTATAATTAGTTTGCATCTTTCTATTTCTGGTCAAAAGTAGTACTGTATTATACTCACTAACATCCAAAAATTTCTTCAAAGTCTTAAACTATAAAATAATTCTTGACAGGAGGAAATTGAAACGTATTATGATTTCTTCTTTGTGAAGCAATTTGCATATAAAATTACTTTTCCAAATCAACCTTGCTTCTTTACAAAATTGACTATTTACAAAATTAACCATTACACCATATAGATCAGTGATTTCTTTCGATCGAGTCAGCTATCGAAAATCTTACAAGCAATAAGCTAAATAAGTTAGAAGCTAAAGTGTAAATTATATGGTTACTATGTGTTTGATACGAAGGAAAAATTTTTCTTTAAAATAATATAATAATTTTTAAATTTTATTTACGATATTTAATAAATAAATAAAATATTTTTGTCTCATGAATATCTATATTATAATCTCGAAAATATCATAAATATAGCGTGAGGTGGCATGAGGTGGTCAACACAGAAGTGAATCGTGCACCAATGTTAAGCTAAAAAAAGAGGTTCTAGCTAGGACTGAACCCTGGTCGCGTGAATGGATGTCTTAACATGTACCTACGATACAAAGTACACCATTATAACTATTAATTATATTTAGTTTATGCAAGTTTTTCAATCAGATATATATAGATATATATATCTACATATATATACATAATTTTTTTCAAAATTAAAAGGTGACATATACATGAATCCACCTTTATCAAGGGGTGGTCCAGAGAGAGGAAGGGGGAGTGATCGAGAAGAGACGATGTGAAATTAAAATATTATTTATGAAACTCGATATAATTTTACTTGAAATATTATTTTTTTAATTTTTAATTAACGATATTATTTAAAAAATAAATATTTCGAGCAGTCAAACAGAAATAAAAAAACGTCAAACTTATTTAAATTGAGGTGTAATATTTATTTGCATTCAAGCGTGTTTTTGAGTTTAGGTAACTTACTTCATTTTAATCCAAAATAAATTAATCGGAAAAACTCTGACATATATATTTTCAATAAATAAGAAGGCAATATTTGAAGACATAATAATATAAATTCATTAATGTAACCTTTATAAATACAACCAATTAAAATATTTCTTTATTACTTTATCACTATTTTTTTAATTCTTTTTCAGCCAAACAGTGTATAAAATTCCAGAGATTTCTGGAGCTAGTTATTCATCTGGACCCCAGAAAAAAAAACATTTAACTGGAAATTTTGTTCTCTTATGATATTATTACATATATCTTTTTCCTTGTTTTTTTTTTCACAAAATGGACCACTTGCAGATTTTAAGGTAGTGGATATGGGCAATTTGGCCTTGGAAATAAAAATTTCAGACGCAGTAACATTGTATAAATATTTATTATTATCGAAAGTTAAAGCGTATGATATTATCGATTAATAAAATTATGAGTACTACGACATAGCTATATTACCGTTAGAAAATAATATCTCATATAATTAAATTACAATATATAAAGTGATTAAATAACATATTATAAATATTTTTAATAGAATAAAATATTGTAATCTCTGATTTTAGATGTCTTGAAAAAATATGTTCCTAAGGTGCCCACATGTTTAAATCTTATTTTTTTAAAAATAACTTTTGTGAAATTCTTGACTCTGCCATTAACGAGTTACCTGCTCAAAATCGAGAATCTATGGAAATTAGGGACGAAAACAGATGAAGCTTTTGTTGTTTTTGACAGATTTAAATTAGAGATAAATGTCAAAAACACACCTAAACTATTCACTTTTTTTGAGTTTCATACCTAAACTGTTGAAATTGTGAGTTTCATATATAAACTATCACTTTTTAGTTTGAGAAACACACCCCTAGGGTAGAAAAAATATTTTAGATTTTATTTCATAGAGAAAATATTATTTTTTTATAATAGTTTTTAATTTTTAATTTTAACTAATATTAATAATTTATTTATTTTTTGTCAAAGTTGAATATTTTATCTATGTAGAGTGTGATACGGAAATTCTTTAAAGTAAAAAAGAAAGTGTATTACACATATCACGATGAGAATGATATAAAAGAGAGAGTTATGTTTCTCAAACTAAAAAAGTGATAGTTTAATTATGAAATTCAAACTTTCAATAATTTAAATAGAAAACTCAACAAAACAATATAATTTAGATGTGTTTTTAATAATTATCTCTTTAAATTAATATTATATTTTATGAAAATATATTGCAAGTAAAATGTTGGTTGGAAATATCTTGGATATGTCCCAAAAGTAAGGGAAATATCTTGGCCACTGTACATTACTATAATATATATGTGTTAAATCAAAATAAAGTTTGAAGTGACAGGTGCTACTTTACGTTATTTTATATTATTAAAGGGTCCACTATCTTGATTGTAATAAACATCTAGAACTTGCATTTAGCAAATGATTATTTTTGCCTACTTTATAATAATACAAAATATAGTATAATACAATAACATAAAATATAATATTTTATCTGTTGGAAGAAAAAGATTTACTCAAAATTTTCGTTTTATTTTAATTGACGTGGTTCTTTTCTTCCCATTAAAAATTAATAATTCTTAAAACAATTGAGATTACTAGTTAATATCGTGGCAACTAATTTAAAGAAGGGTTTAGATAATATTGTTTGGTCTATAATTTGAATCTTAGTTGGTCTCATTTGTTAATCAAGTGAAGATATAAACTTTAATTATTTAAATTTCAGTTTTTAAGTTCGTTTAAAGATTTGTATATTAAATATTTAGTTTCTAAGTGCTATAAAGTGTATTTTTTTTATGTTACAACCACTTGATGTTTTTAATAGATCTAAATGCTTATGATCTTTAACAAAAATTTGATATAATTAAGATATTTATTTACAGCGTTTATTAAAGATTATCGGAGAACTATTATTATTGTCACGTTATTATTATTATTAATTATTATCTTATTCACCATGCATCACTCACAATTGTTATTCTCATTTACAATCATCATCATTTTTAATCAATACAATCTATTGTCACTCTTACTAATCACGATTTACAATCAACTGTTATTACTCATTGCCAATAACTCATAAAAATCATCAATCAATTTCGATAATGAAAGTATCTAGGGGTAATAATTCATTAAATCATTGAGATAATAATCAAATACGTACTTAATTTTTTATTTTCGGAGTTTCATATTTTACATGTCAATTGTTTTTCTTCTTCCAAGTGACCTATCACTATCCATTTATTAAAAACTATCTTGAATCTATTTACCTAAGTAGCAATCAATGAATCTCTTTTTCACATAAATTATCACACCATCTATTCAACTAAATATATTTTAGTACGTAAATAATGATAATTCAATATAAAAAAGGCACTCCAAAAAGAGGAAAATCTAAGGGGTGACGCAACACGAATATTAATAGCAACAATTATGAACCTAAACATTATGTTAAGTAACAAAAGTAAAAATAAAATAAAATAAATATGTCTACTTACAATCCAGAAAGAACAAAAGATGATCAAAAGTGTAATAATAATCATTAGTCAAATTGATGTAGAAAGTGCTAGTACTGCTAGTTGTTATGGGCACGGCCCAAAGCCCATAATTGGTCTTAGGTCCATAATATACATTATTTAATAAATTTATAAAAATTTATCATTATTCACTTATTTCTTTTCTCTTTTTTAATTTGAAATTCACCTAAAAATATGTATTTTCTCATCTTCAAAATTTATTAATATGAAAAGATGACAGGTCCTCCATCCGTTAAATTATTCTATTCTTGAATCAAAAGTATCAAATTTATATCATGAAATTGAAAAATACAATATATATTTTTTTAACAAAAAGTATTATAAATATTTGTTAGATGCATATCTAAATTAATTAGATTTAATAAAAAGAAAAGTGTAACAACCAATGAACAAATAGTTATCTAACCCAAAAATGAATATGCATTCGAAAATCCTAAAACTTATGACAAATTTTATATGATAAGTTAGAAATTTCAATGTTAAAGAACTTTAAATGGTTGAAACTACCTAATTTAACTCTTCAATCAATATACAATCTACAATAATTTTTTATATTTTCCCCTGATAATTATCTAAGCCAAAAAAACCTTGACAGGTATTACAACATTATTATTTATAACATATATCCACTAATCCAAAGATTTGATGGGAAGTGACAAACCTAATTGACTGAAAAAAAATAAATTAATATCAAATTAGGTAACTTTCACATATAGCAAATAAAAAATTATTATAACAAAGTTTGCATAATTGCGCTTTATAATATTTTATTTAAGATTTTCATATATGCATATTATAGCAAAATTTACATAATTACGTAATATTTTTTTTAGAAAAATAACTTAAATACAAAACTATAATTTTTATATTCTCTAATTTTCCCTACTTTTTTTAAATATTACATAATTCCTTTTTTTTTTTAATTTTAGTGTAAGTTTTTAGATACATTACATTCTCTCTCCTATAATACACATTTACCCATTTTAATGCCTATTTTTTCTCCATTAAAACACTCAACCTCTTAAATCAGTTTTTGAATTTTGAATTTTATCCATTTAAACACTCAACCTTTTAAATCAGCTTTTTGATTTTGAATTATTAAATTTAATCAATTTTAAATAAAAGACCAAATTTTGAAATTTTGAATTTCAAAATTCAAAAAATTTGAAATTTAAAAAAGTAAAAATTTCAGGAAGCAGGACAACTTCTCTTAACTTCTACCGTTTTGTTCTCCATCAAGTTTCAGTTCTTTTTGCATGATCCTATGAATGTTAAGGTGGATTCAAACAAAGACTCTGGC